TATATTAATATAATTTAAAAATATTTGAGAAACAGAATAAAAATTCCATGAAAGATAATTTTGCTATAAAATTAAAGAAGACATATTAACCCTTTACGTTACAATGACGAGCTAGACTCGTCATGAGGTTTTAATGGCCAACTGTGCAGTGATGAAGTATACACGTCATGCAATTAAAAATGCACAAATGTTGGTAGGGTTAATTTTTCGAAGGGTTGAATGTAGCCAGACGGGGTTAACCATTAGCTAAGCTTGAAGAGGAGAAAAGCATTGGTCTAGTGAACTCAAATGATTAGGATCGTTTACACGAGTTCCCTTTTCCCATTCGAAGGACCCCGGAGAAGCGGCGAGAGAGGCTCGTGTCGCGGTAGGCAGGTTCGATCCTCATATTTATAGACATCCTGGAAGAGGGCAGAGAGAAACTCGAAGAAGAGGAAGAAGTAAGTTATGCGACGTTTGGCCCGCCCCAGCCACTCATTCGGCGACCATAACTCTCGCGGAGTGACAGCTACGAACGGAAGGGTGTGTGCCGCGAGAAGAGGGAAATTGAATGCCTTCGCAACCCCTCTTCGTTCCTCCCAGTTTTCGCCGTCATCTGCTCCCCCTCTCTCGCCCCCTAACCGCTCTTAACCGCGTCACTGTCAAATTGATAACCGCTCCGCTCACGGCGGACGTCTTCCTCTGGAACCGTCAGCTTCCGGGGAAACTCGTTCCTCCGCTAGGTATTATCGTCGCGGGACAAGCTGATTTCGGCGATTTAAATAATTTATGCGGCGCTCCGAACGGAAGAAGCGAAAACGTAACGGGATCGAGCGGAAGGTTTGACGCCTCGTCGTCCGAGCGGATATCAAGCGAATTAAGGTTTGCGTTAGTCGGCGAAAGAAACAGAAGGGAAGCGAGAACAGCTTTTCAGCCAAGGCCAGCAACAACGAGATTTTCTATCTCGCCGGATTTAATAATTCCACCTTGGTCCGCCTTTGTTAACTCTACAATTATTATTAATGACGATGTACGAGGGTTGTGGCCTGGCGCCGCTGCGTTCATTCTTTCTCTCTCTCTCTCTCTCTCTCTCTGTTGCTCCTCCTCGGTTTCGTTCCTCGACGAGCGTGAATGTAAATTAATTACTCGCCGGGTCTTTCGCGAAAAACATATTAAGCGCCCCACCTTATTACGGCACGATATTAGGGCATAAATCATAACTCACTTACGGATTACTATTTTTCATACTACGCCGGGGCGCGGACCCCTGGGCTAATCGAAAATCCCGTGGCGAACCGAATTCACCACCAAATAAGCATTAAGGTCGTTCGAGCCCTAGGATCCCTGCTAAAAGTTTTAGAAATGCGATTAAAACCTATCCCCAATACTTGAAGCTATTTTACATTTATATAGGATTTGTTTCTACCAACAAACTTTAAACGATTCTGCAGCAACAATGTAGATACCTTTTAATGTCGTGGACAAAGATAATTTTAAGCTTTAAAAATTGTTACATGAATAGAAATTCATTTACTATACTCTTAAGCAAACACGCATTGAAGTATTTAATTCCATGGTGATATATTGAATAAAGAAAACTGGTTTTTTTAGAAGCGACCAACAGAACGTGAAAATGTAGAGTTAACGATGAAAAGTAGGTAGAGAACGGAGGCGTATCCCGGCGCGAGGTAATAATACGTCCCTCCTTAATTGCCGTATTATGAAAACGCCTGGCGCGTTTTATTTACTTAACGGAATTAGCAGGTGGACACCTGTGGTGCCGTTTTTCCCTCGTCCTCCTCCAGAAGATAACACCGAAACCCTTCCTTTCATCAGAACCAGGCGAAATTAGAATGAATGTTTGTAAGAGCGATGACCTCAAAGACGGTGGGGAGTTGGCGTTTCTCCCTTGGGTGCCGGTGCACCC